TGGTTTATGTATTTGTTATCATTATATGTAAGTAACTTCTGTTGGTTTATGTATTTGTTATCATTATATGTAAGTAACTTCTGTTGGTTTATGTATTTGTTATCATTATATGTAAGTAACTTCTGTTGGTTTATGTATTTGTTATCATTATATGTAAGTAACTTCTGTTGGTTTATGTATTTGTTATCATTATATGTAAGTAACTTCTGTTGGTTTATGTATTTGTTATCATTATATGTAAGTAACTTCTGTTGGTTTATGTATTTGTTATCATTATATGTAAGTAACTTCTGTTGGTTTATGTATTTGTTATCATTATATGTAAGTAACTTCTGTTGGTTTATGTATTTGTTATCATTATATGTAAGTAACTTCTGTTGGTTTATGTATTTGTTATCATTATATGTAAGTAACTTCTGTTGGTTTATGTATTTGTTATCATTATATGTAAGTAACTTCTGTTGGTTTATGTATTTGTTATCATTATATGTAAGTAACTTCTGTTGGTTTATGTATTTGTTATCATTATATGTAAGTAACTTCTGTTGGTTTATGTATTTGTTATCATTATATGTAAGTAACTTCTGTTGGTTTATGTATTTGTTATCATTATATGTAAGTAACTTCTGTTGGTTTATGTATTTGTTATCATTATATGTAAGTAACTTCTGTTGGTTTATGTATTTGTTATCATTATATCAAATTATGTGACTTCCAGAAAACATTACAGGACTTTTTTCGGTTCGATATTTTGCTCAGTTAATTTTTCGCGGTATATAACATCATTCCGACAATTACTTTTTCTCTTATTGATGAGGATACTTCCAAGAATGGGTAGTCATAGGGGTTCATGAGTAGTCATGAGGGTTCGCGGGTAGTCATGGGGCCGGGGTTCGCGGGTAGTCATGGGCGCTCGTGGGTAGTCATGGGGGTTCGCGGTGTTTCCTCTCCACGTTTTGACCTCGACCGATGATTGGGCGTTTTATGTTGGGAATATCACGATAGAGTTTGTGGGGATTTCTCCGATTTTGGTTTTAAATGTTGGTGTGTTAGATGATCTCTTCTTGATATCTGTCCTCTTACATATCTAGAGATATACTTCAATCTTTAAAATATATTAAATCATGACAAAAACCATACAAAACCCGGTGATATTTTTGGGCAACTTTGTGAGGTTTAAGAACATTTTTAATGATACAATGTATATAGTCAGCGAGGTTGAAGCATTACTGTCATCTTGACATCGAAATATTTCAAATAAAAGTGCTAGATCAGTTGTTATACATTGTTGAAGATGAGTATTCACATTTCCGAAGCGAGCAGGTCGGCTCCAACAACTTATATCGCGAAATGTCACTAACATTTTTGCCCCCATAATAAAAAGTAAAAAGTTGGTAGATTGGTATCTGTGATTATAATTTAAAAAAAAACAAGTACTAATTGTAATGGGGGACCATTACAGATATCCCCCAAACTGCCCCCATAGTCGCAAAGATGCATCAGAAAAGAATCGCATTACCATAGTACACCTACAATGTACATACTAAATTTCAGGGAAATTGAGCAATTTCTAAATTGCAACCAATCAGAATCCTCTGTGTGGTTGATATGGCAACGAAACGTATGCTATTGAATTTGCAGTCCCCTAATACCCCTATATACAAATTTTCATAAAAATCGAAAAATATCTCAAATTCGACCAATCAGAAACCTCCATGTGGTTGCTATGGCAACGAAACCTATGCGGTTTAATTTGCAGTCCCCTTATACCCATATATACCAATTTTCATCAAAATCATACAATATCTTAATTTCCACCAGACAGAAGTCTTCGTGTGGTTGATATATGGTTGCTATGGCAATGAAATGTATGCAGTTGAATTCACAGTCCCCTTATATCCCCATATATCAATTTTCATAAAAAACGAACAAAATCTAAATTTCGACCAATCAGAGGCCGCCGTCCGGCTGACCAGTCGGTTGACCGATCGAAAAATTATCCTTCTGATAATATATATATGTGGGGCTATGCATGATGTTGTTTCCACTTGTAATATTAAAATATCAGTTATATGTATCACTGTACATATCATAAAGCAAGATGATGTCATTCTTGCTGATATTAAGTAACAATATAAGATATACATTTATACTGTGGTACTTGTGCGTAGAACAGACAACAGGTGGTTGGACAATCCCTACCAACCTATTATCTGTCTAACAAATTATAGCAATTTGGGGTATAATACATATATAAAAATGACTTTTAATAAAATAAAGATTGAGGATGATGGTAATAAAATGTTCCATAACATTTATAAAAAGTACATATTATATTAGTACTTTAGTTAAAACTTTGGTAATACATCATATATTTTTAGAAGAAGTTTAGAGTCATCCACTGGGATAGAATAAAAATTACCTTTAGAAGACAAATTCTTGCTCAAAATCATTTTTTGCCAAAACTTGTAAGTACTTTTTTATCTCGCTTTTGAATTTCATCTTGTGATCGACAGATTTTATTGAATGTGGTAAGTTATTCCAATCTTTGATAGCATTATAGAAAAAAGATGATGATTCCACACCTTTTATATAAGGAATGTTGAAATTCAGATCACTGTTCCTGGTAAAGTGTTTTTTCTCTGTTCTAGTAAAATTTTCTTTCATATAGGATGGACATTTGTTATGTTGAATATTAAAGACATGGTTAAAACGGAGCTGTTTCACCCTGCCCCCAACATCCAACATATTAACTTGTTCCAATTCCCGATGGGTGACTCTTGATCTATTATCAAGTTTCAGAATAAATCTGACCACTTTATTCTGTGTAATTTGAACTTTTTGTCGAAGTTTTTTGGATATGTTTTCGAACCAGCAGCTAGAAGCATAGTCAAAATGACATTGGATCAGTGCCGACACCAGGGTTTTTCTAGATCTAAAATTGAGACAGTCACGGTGTCTATATAGAAACCACAATTTCTGGTTCACTTTTTTTATAATATTTTGGACAATTTGTTCTCCAGATAGAAAGTTGTCCAATATAATACCAAGATATTTGACACACACCTGAGGCATAATTATATTACCGTAACACGAAACAGAAAATGAGCCTTCAGGTAATTTGGAAAGTTTCCTTTTGGGGCCAAACAAAATACTCTCTGTTTTTCCAAGATGTAAGGATAATTTGTTATCTGTTAGCCAATCGTGACATGACTCTAAGTTTTTCGATAGAAATTTTGAAATAATTTTTGGGTCTTTGTGCGAGAAGATAATTGCACTGTCATCTGCGTACAGAAATAATTTGCATCCTGGGTCAATACTGATCCGCATGTCATTTACATAAATGAGAAAAAGAAGCGGTCCCAATAAACTCCCTTGGGGTACCCCGCATGTTATATTACAAATATCCGAGTTCACATTATTGATATTGACTAATTGTTTTCTGTTGGTAAGGTATGATGCCATACTATACCTACATACCAAATTTCATCAATATGGACGATATTTTAATTTCGAACAATAAGAAACCTGCATTTGGCCGCCATTTTGAATACAAAGTGAATTAAGTTTTTTTTGGGCGCTATTTTGAATGCAAAGTCAACTAAGTTTTTGTCGAAAACGAGCTCTGTGACGTTATGTTCCATCAAATAGAACGAATGTTATTACTGGATATGATTTCCACTTTGAAATTTTGACCGATCAGAGGCCAGGAAATGGCAGCCATTTTGTTTTTTCACAAAACAAACACCGCAGTTGTGTTCATAGTGCCACACCACACCTACATACCAAATTTCATCGTAATTGGACGATATTTAAATTTCGAACAATCAGAAGCCTGCATTTGGCCGCCATTTTGAATTACATTTCCAAACTCAGGTTACAATAGTGACCGGTGTCCCATGATATACCTACATACCAAATTTCATGAAAATCAGACAATATTTAAATTTGGACGAATGAGAGGCCAGGAAATGGCAGCCATTTTGTTTTTTCACAAAACAAACACCGCAGTTGTGTTTGTAGTGCCATACTTCACATTCATACCAAATTTCAACAAAACTGGACGATATTTTAATTTCGAACTATAAGAAACCTGTATTTGGCCGCCATTTTGAATACAAAGTGAATTAATTTTAGTCAAAAACGAGCGCTGTGACGTTATCATCCCTTTCACCGATTTTCATTAAGTTCCATGAAGTAGAACGAATGTTATTAATAGATATGATTTCAGCCAATCAGAGGCAGTGGCGGCCATCTTGGATGGTTGACCCGGAAAAAAAGTTAGATGCACAATTAGATATCGTACTGATTATGTATGCAAAGTATGATAAGGATCCCATAAGTAGTTTCTGAGATTAAGCGCGGAAGCGATACGGCAGAGGAATAATAAGAATAAGTAAGAAACGGAACAATAACAACAAGTCACCCGACTTCGTTCGGGATGACTTAACTAGAATTGCATTTGCGAGTAAAAGCGGAAGTCACCCCCCCCCCCCCCCCCCCATTTTCTCGAAGAAAATTTACATTTCCTTTAATGTACACGTAGTTATAGTTTGATAGTCACATTGGAAAATTTATATCGACTTAAAAATGTCAGCTCTTGACTTTTTTATATATATATATATTGTGATTTCAGGCAATATCAACGTTTAAACTGTTAATAGATGTGTAACGTCCGCTAGTGTCGCGTTCAAGATTTTCATCTGTAAGTATGTTTAATTGAGTAGATTTTGTAGAGTTGTAAATTCGATATATTGGTTTATGTTCGTTTTATATATTTACAAATGAATGTGCTAACATGGCATGATCACTCACACGTTGTTAACTTTTTGTGAACAAGGTTCTTCTAATTCTTCATTTATTTCCTCGTCTGATGTCGCTATGCTGGCACAAATTTCCTCCAAACTTTTACGCATTTCTTCAAAGTTTTCGGATCTGAAATAGACAAAGACGAAACGCTACAACAGCTCCCAAAGTACGCTTAAACTCCTGTCCACAAGTACACTAGTACTCCTGTCCCAAAGTACGCTAATACTCCTGTCCCCAAGTACGCTAATACTCCTGTTGCCAAGTACGGTAATACTCTTGTCCACAAGTACGCTAATACTCCTGTCCACAAGTACGCTAATACTCCTGTCCACAAGTACACTAGTACTCCTGTCCCAAAGTACGCTAATGCTCCTGTCCCCAAGTACGCTAATACTCCTGTTGCCAAGTACGGTAATACTCTTGTCCACAAGTACGCTAATACTCCTGTCCACAAGAACGCTAATACTCCTGTCCACAAGTACACTAGTACTCCTGTCCCCAAGTACGCTAATACTCCTGTCCACAAATACGCTAGTACTCCTGTCCACAAGAACGCTAATACTCCTGTCCACAAGTACGCTAGTACTCTTGTCAACATGTACGCTAGTACTCCTGTACCTAAGTACGCTAGTACTCCTGTCCACAAGTACGCTAGTACTCCTGTCCAGAAGAACGCTAATACTCCTGTCCACAAGTACGCTAGTACTCCTGTCCACAAGAACGCTAATACTCCTGTCCACAAATACGCTAGTACTCATGTCCACAAGAACGCTAATACTCCTGTCCACATGTACACTAGTACTCCTCTCCCCAAGTACGCTAATACTCCTGTCCACAAATACGCTAGTACTCCCGTCCACAAGAACGCTAATACTCCTGTCCACATGTACACTAGTACTCCTCTCCCCAAGTACGCTAATACTCCTGTCCACAAATACGCTAGTACTCCTGTCCACGAGAACGCTAATACTCCTGTCCACAAGTACGCTAGTACTCTTGTCAACATGTACGCTAGTACTCCTGTCCCTAAGTACGCTAGTACTCCTGTCCACAAGTACGCTAGTACTCTTGTCAACATGTACGCTAGTACTCCTGTACCTAAGTACGCTAGTACCCCTGTCCACAAGTACGCTAATACTCCTGTCCACAAGAACGCTAATCCTCCTGTCCACAAGTACACTAGTACTCCTGTCCCCAAGTACGCTAATACTCCTGTCCCCAAGTACGCTAGTACTCCTGTTCCCATGTACGCTAATACTCCTGTCCCCTAGTACGCTAGTACTCCTGTCTCCAAGTACGCTAGTACACATGTTCCCATGTACGCTAGTACACATGTTCCCATGTACGCTAGTACACATGTTCCCATGTACGCTAATACTCTTGTCCACAAGTACGCTAGTACTCCTGTTCCCAAGTACACTAGTACTCCTGTCCCAAAGTACGCTAATGCTCCTGTCCCCAAGTACGCTAATCCTCCTGTTGCCAAGTACGGTAATACTCTTGTCCACAAGTACGCTAATACTCCTGTCCACAAGAACGCTAATCCTCCTGTCCACAAGTACACTAGTACTCCTGTCCCCAAGTACGCTAATACTCCTGTCTACAAATACGCTAGTACTCCTGTCCACAAGAACGCTAATACTCCTGTCCACAAGTACGCTAGTACTCCTGTTCCCAAGTACACTAGTACTCCTGTCCCCAAATACGCTAATACTCCTGTCCCCAAGTACGCTAGTACTCCTGTCCCCAAGTACGCTAGTTCTCCTGTTCAGGTTTCATGAAAATTAAAAGATATATAAATATTCCAGCTCGACTTCTCTTTACATTAACCGATATGTACTGGAGTTTAAAAAAAAACACCCCACTTTTTAATGGTAAAATACATGTAGTAATTACATAAAATACTTATGTCTGGGGAAAAGTTTGGTTTTTAAATTCTAGCCTTTTCTGATTTTAGTAAAATATTTTGCTGGCAAATTTGAAAAAAAAGTGAACAGAAAAGGGTATGTACAAAATCTTCAAATGAACTTAAAACCCGAAAAAGAACAAATAGAAAATGAGAAAAATGAGGTTTGAGAAAATGTAAACTGTGCTTGCATTTGTACCTTCTGCATTATGTGGGTGAGACCAGATCGATTGTGCAAGTGAATGATACTGGCCAATTAGATATTTGTAAATGTTGATAATCGGTAAAATGCTTTCGTTTGGAATAATAATACCAGAGCCGTTTAAAAAGATATCTGATGAAAGTCATATGTGGAAATTATATTGTTCACAATGTAACATATGGCAATTAGATGGCACAAGAGCCGAATTGAACCAAAATCTGGAGCTTAGAGTTGTGAAATAAATAATTCAATAATGATTTTTATGGGAAATGCTTCACTGTTATTACTAGGTTAAATGATTAAAGATATAATATTTACAAAAATGTTCAAGTGTAATTCAGGGGTAAGACAAGGGGAGAGTTAACACCTTTTCCTAATCTTTGTCTTTTAAAATCATTTCTATTTATTTTCGTTGAAAGAGGTTGTTATCTATTAAAAAAAACAAGCTAGAAATTGTTGCAAGGCCAGGACATGTCAAACCTGCAGATTGTGGTACATATGTGTAGATTGAATGAGTCACATACTGGAGAGGGGATCTGTAATAGATGGAATGAGTCACATACTGGAGAGGGGATCTGTAATAGATGGAATGATTCACCTACGGGAGAGAGAATCTTTATTAGATGGTATGATTCACCTACGGTAGAGAGGATCTGTATTAGATGGAATCATACACCTACGGGAGAGAGGATCTGTAATAGATGGAATCATACACATACGGGAGAAAGGATCTGTAATAGATGGAATCATACACCTACGGGAGAGAGGATCTGTAATAGATGGAATCATACACATACGGGAGAGAGAATCTGTAATAGATGGAATCATACACCTACGGGAGAGAGAATCTGTAATAGATGGAATCATACACCTACGGGAGAGAGGATCTGTAATAGATGGAATCATACACATACGGTAGAGATGATCTGTAATAGATGGAATGATTCACCTACGGGATACAGAATCTGTAATAGATGA